GGGGGCGGGGGCGGGGAAGGCGAGGGCTGTGAGCCCTCCCCAGGCTGCGCCGACGTCCGAGCCCGGCCTGCGGCCCCACCCTCTGGCTTCCAGCCCGGCACCCTTCCCTCAGCAGCACTGCCTCTCCCCCTTTCCAGCCGGGCGCAGACCCCCCGGAGGGGAAAGCGCTCGACGCTGACGTCAGAGCTCCGGCCCCCTCCAGGGCTCGGGCAAGGGTGCAGCGTGTGGTGCCTCAGTCTCCCCATCTGTAGGATGGGAGAGCATCTCCCACACAGCAGGGCTCCCGGGAGGGCTCCAGGAGGCAGCGGCCCGGCTCACGTCAGATNGGGCCCCTCATGTGCCGTCCCTGTGGACCCCCCATGCCCCTCCCCTGCCTGGCCCCAGCCACCCCACCCGCGCCCTTGGCCGCCTCGGGCTGGACCCTCTCTGGACCTCCTGCTGCCCCCACCCCCAAGGCCCCACGTGGTCCCTTCTCAGTCTGCTGGACGGACCACACCCCCCGTTGTCCTGCACAGGGCGGGGGCGGGGAAGGCGAGGGCTGTGAGCCCTCCCCAGGCTGCGCCGACGTCCGAGCCCGGCCTGCGGCCCCACCCTCTGGCTTCCAGCCCAGCACCCTTCCCTCAGCAGCACTGCCCCTCCCCCTTTCCAGCAGGGCCCAGACCCCCCGGAGGGGAAAGCGCTCGACGCTGATGTCAGAGCTCCGGCCCCCTCCAGGGCTCGGGCAAGGGTGCAGCGTGCGGTGGNTGACGTCAGAGCTCCGGCCCCCTCCAGGGCTCGGGCAAGGGTGCAGCGTGTGGTGCCTCAGTCTCCCCATCTGTAGGATGGGAGAGCATCTCCCACACAGCAGGGCTCCCGGGAGGGCTCCAGGAGGCAGCGGCCCGGCTCACGTCAGATGGTCAGTAGGGGGTGACCTGCCGCTGCTGGGGTTGTGGCCGCTGCCAGGGGTCCCAGCGAGGAGGATGGTGCAGTCTGAGCACCTGGGAGCACCGGGGACGGGCCCTATGCCGGGGAGATGCTCTGGCCGGCCAGGCAAGTGGAGACACTGAGAGAGCCCGACCTGCAGGGAGTGGTCTTGTCCTGGACACGTAGGGAAGGTACAGGTCGTGCTGGCCTGAGTCTCAGGCCCGAGGGGCAGAACTGTGGCCCTGCTGCCGACCCCGGGGGCAGCTCAGCCGAGCCTGCATGTGGGATCGCTGCGGCCAGCCCCGCGGGAGGGGCTGCTTGGGGGCTGGGCCCCGTGTTTGAAAGCCCGGCTGCAGCGTCAGGAGCTTCTTGGAAACATGTCTTCTCTCTTGGCTTTGCAGCCTTTTTTCCTTAAAAAGAAAAACACAAACCAAAACCAAAACACAGAGCGGATCTCGGTGGCACGCTCGCCAGGCCGCTGTCGGGCCTGAGAACAACACGAGCAGCTGCTCTGGAAAATTTCAGCTGAGAAGCGCCCCGGCCCTCCCTGGCCTGACGAAGCCGACCTCCCAGAATCCCGTCCGGCTCCTCCGAGGGGCAGCTGGGCTCCTGCTCAGGGCCTTTGCACAGGCTGTGGCCTCACCTCCAGCACTGCTCCCCTCGCTGTCCTCCCAGCGGCCCCGCTTCCGGGGGCAGCTCCCAGACCAACCCTCCGCCTCCCGGCTGCCCGTCTCTGTGACTCAGGCGGCCTCATTCTGTCCCGGGACTTGCTCCTTTGCGGTTGTGGCTGGGCCACGGCTCTGTGGCTCTCCTCTGGGTCTCTAGAGCCTCACACGTATGTGACAAGTGTCCAGTTAGTGACTGTTGGATGAAGGCCTTCATGGACTAAGTACCTAGGACACAGCGATCAGCATCCGGGGCCCGGGCCTCTGCTGATGCTACTTGAAGGCTGTGTCCCCATCAGCGGGGAGGTGAGGCACCCTTATCGAGCCCCTGACGGGAGTCACTGTTCTCCACCGTCCCTGAGTGTGCTTGACCAAGCCACGCCTCCACCAGGGAGCCCTCCTGAGCCCTGAGGTCGGCACCCCTCGGGCTGCCCCCCGGCCCTGTGTCTGCCCTCTCTGACCCTTTCCCTTCAAGAGATGGATCAGACCGTACAATCCCTCCATCAGCCTTTGCTCACTGAGCTCCAGCCCTGCTCTGGGTGCCATCCCGGGGCGGGGATGCTCCCGTGGCACCGACATCCCGATGTGGGGAGATTAACATGTGAGAAGCAGGGAATGAGAACAGAGGCATGTGCTACGGGGCAGGTAAGGCTGAGCAGGGCTGGGCCGGGGCGGCCGGGGCAGAGGCGGGGAGTCAGGCGAGGCCTCCACAGGGACCTGGACGCTGACAGTGGTTCC